TGGTGACTGGCTGGAGCCCAGAGCGCCGACGGCAGTTGGAGCCTGGGACTGGGCTCTCCAGCCTGGAGTTTGAGCAGCTAAATTGCTGGGCAGCCAGGGGCAAGGCAGTCTCAGGGACAGGATGTAGGCGTGTAGGGCAAGACCCTGAGTCAGCCAGAGAGATCCGGGAACCCAGCTCCTCTGTGCTGAGAACCTGACTCCAGGTTCAGGCACAGGGAAGGGTGTCCTGCTGCTGCACCCGAGACCCTGGGTCTGTGGTGGGGCACAGCCCACAATAGCGCAGTCCCTGCCTAAGAACCATCTGGGGTGCAGCAATCTGAAATCCTCTATCCGCAACACCCAACATCCCGGTGAGCTCCCAGCCCCCACACTCTTCCGTCTCCACGTCTGTAATGTGGGCAGACACCCACCCCACGTGCTGTTGGGAAGAAAGACTCCAGAGCAGGACACATGAAGCCAGGCGTGTGCAGGAGCACAGCAGAGGGCGGCATGCCACGTCCCTTCTGCAGGCCTCAGCCTCTGGCTGTCCTGGGTCTACCTACCCACGCCAGGAACAGGGAGCCTCGCCTTTCCAGCCAGCCGGCTGTGCTCCAGACTAGGCTGATGTGAGCAAGAAGGCTTTCCCAGCCCTCAGGGTCTGAGCAGTTTCCCAGCACCCAGTGGAGTCTGCTCCTGCGAGTCCACCAGCAGCCCCTTCCAGCTTCAGAGCAGAGCCAGCCTGAGGGCTCTCCTCTAGGGTGGCCCATCCACAGAGCACTGGATACTGGGACAGCACCTTCAGAAAAGGTCTCTAAGACCCATCTACACCTTGTTCAGTGCACAGGCCCTGGGTAGGAGGCACTTGTCCAAGGCCGCCCAGCGAGCAGGAGGTGGAGCCATAGAGGCTCTGGCCTCTATGCCAAGGCCCCTCCAGGACTGAGGGTTCTGTGGGGCGGGGCTGAGCCCCATCCCCACCCTGGCTGGGCACAAGGGGCTCTGTGGACAAACATGCCTGTCCCTCCAGCACCAACCTGCACCATGGCGAGGTCACTGCAGACAGCCCAACCAGAGGTGGCTGAGCCCGAGGCCCACCCTGACGCAGGCTCGCGAGGCAGGCATGCAGAGTTCGGAAAAGGAAAATGCCACGTAAGGAAATGCTCTGAGGCCCTGCCTGCCCTGAGGTCCTGACCAGCCATGACTCTGAGGAGCCAGGGGGATCTCACAGGCCCACAAGTGTGGGTGTGTGGTGAGACCCTGGGGATTGCTGAGGCCAGCCCCTTACAAGGTGGGCAACAGGGGACCAGAGGGGGCCAGCTCTGCCCTGGAACAGTGTCCTTGTCCCCAGCCAGATGGCCTGCCAGGGCGCCCTTTGCCTCACACGACTGGTTCTCTGCTCAGGATCACACTGCTGGGGGTGGAGGGGCAGCCCAGAGCTCTGGTTTGGGCCTCCCCAGGACCCAGGCTTCACTCCTGCCACAGCCTCAGTTTCTGCATCTGTTGGATGGGAATGTGGTCTCCCAGGAGCTGTGAGAGCAGAGGCCAGGGCTTGGACAGGGCTGGCTGGCCCCCAGCACTGGCTGCTTCTGGCCAGGCCTCCGAGGCGCCCAGGTCCCTGCATCAGGGCAGCGCTGGCAGCGAGAGCTCCCGAGTGAAGCGTGTGCCCAGTCCTGTGCTGAGGCCTGGCCTGCCTGGCAGGTGGAGAGTGG